GCCTCTGTTGGGGCAGCTGTTGGCGCCTCTGTTGGGGCAGCTGTTGGTGCCTCTGTTGGGGCAGCTGTTGGCAACTCTGTTGGGGCAACTGTTGGTGCCTCTGTTGGGGCTGATGTTGGAGCTGATGTTGGGGCTTCCATTGGGGCAGCTGTTGGCAACTCTGTTGGGGCAACTGTTGGTGCCTCTGTTGGGGCAGCTGTTGGCGCCTCTGTTGGTGCTTTGGTTGTGGCTACTGGTCGACTTCTTGGCCTAAATATTGCATCTGTCACTGTTTTTATCACTTTTCCAACAAATGAGAAAATGTTTCCTAGAAATGATGAATATGCCTGAGCCACAGTTGCTTGTGATGACTGGCCAGACTCAGAGGTTTCCTGCTGGGCCAAGCTTGGTGTGAATAGGCCACCAAAGAGTATGAGGCCCAAAAGTAGAAGGACCTTCATGCCTGATATAAAAAGAGGAAATGAACACTTCAGATAATCTTTTAAATAAAGTTTGAAGGAAAAGTAAAATTTTCTTTCCGGACATAATTGTGATAGTTACTGTTATCTAAACATTCTCACTTTTTCTTCCCCTCAGAAAAAGGAAAATTTAAAGGCTAGTGAATAGGCAAGAGAAGAAATCTAACACTCCACTCCATGGTCTCTCCAGCTCAGGATACTTTTTTTCTTCTGGGTTCTGAAAATATGTGTTTGAAGGATTATGTGGGGCAGGATATTATTTCCACTTAGTGAGTCTTACATATGCTCAACTTGTGGGAACCCTGGAATTTATCTCAATTTTTCCTGAATCTTTATTTCTTGCTTCTAAAAATCTTTGAGATTAGTACTCTAAATGTTTGGTATTTGTGGTATAAGATACTACTTCTTTTGCTTTTTTTCCTAAAACTATATTTTGCAAATTTCCTGAGAGTCCCCTCAAGCATTCTAGGTACCTATCTCCTTTAGACCTTCTCTAGCTCCCCTGAGAGCACATTGTCCTCAGGTCTGTGTATCCAGAAATATGCATGCAGCCTAGTGTGGGGCAAAGAACATTGGAATGTTAGTTAGGAGACCTGGCTTCTAGCTCCAGCTCTGCTACTTAACTTGCTGTCTGTTCTATAATTCTAAGACTCCTTCCAGCTCTGATATTCATATTCTACTTACAAGGGCCCTTATAACTTTAATATTCTCTGATTCTCAAAGTAGACCCACTAAGGTCTTAGACAAGTGTCTGGAAAACCACAATATAGCCTATGTTTTTAGGTTTATTTCTTATAATACTCAGCAAGTAGTCAGGCTTTAATCAAAATAGTCAGTTGGGTGCCCTGAATAGACAATTTTGTAAAACATAAAATTTAGTTTATATTGGAAACAACTACATTGAGCCAATTCTAAACTCAGCAGCTTCATGATGTTTTGATTGGATATGTGATTTCACTATCAAGTAGATTTATAACACAGCTAGTAGTAATAGGGAGTTGCCTGTAGCCACTGAGAGGGTAAGTAACTTGTCCAGGGTCACATAGCCAGAATAGGTCAGAGGCAGGTCTTGAATTCAGGTGTTCCTGACTCCCAGGCTAGCTCTATGCAATTGTACCATGCTGTCTCTTTCCAAAATTTATCTGTACTATACAATGATTCAAATTCTCCATTTCAAAAATCAATGAATGTCTGAAGGGAGCCATAAAGACCCTCTAGTGGGAGAGGAAGGGAAGAAAAGGAAATAAGCATTTATATAAGACCTACTATGTGCCAGGCACTGTACTAAATATTTTATAAATATTATCTCATTTGATACTCACAACAACCCTGTGAGGTGAGTGTTATTACTATTCCTGTTTTACAACTGAGGAAGGTGAGGCAAACAGAGATTAAATGGCTTGCCTAAGGTCACACAGCTAGTAAGTGTCTGAGGCTGGATTTGAACTCAGTTCTTCTTGACTCCAGCCCCAGCACTCTATCCACTGTACCACCTGGCTTCTTGGTCTATAGTCTAACTACCTCCTTTTGCAGAGGAAGAAAAGGGCCCAGAAAGAAAACTGGAAAATACTGTGGCAGAAACTGGGCATAGATCAACATCTTACACCCTATACCAAGATAAAGTCAACATGGGTGCAGGATTTAGATATAAAGACTGATACTATAAGCAAACTAGGAGAGCAAAAAATAATTTACCCTTTCAGATCTATGGAAAAGGGAAGAATTTATGACCAAACAAGAGATAGGGAATATTATGAAATGCAACATGGATAATTTTGATTATATTAAATTGAAATTTTTTTTGTGCCAACAAAGCCAATGCATCCAAGATTAGGAGGGAAGCAGAAAACTGGGAAAGAATTTTTACAACCAATGTCTCTGATAAAGGCCACATTTCTCAAATATATAGAGAACTGAGTCAAATTTATAAGAATACAAGTCATTCCCCAAATGATAAATGGTCAAAGGATATAAACAGGCAGTTCTCAAAGGAAGAAATTAAAGCTGTCTATAGTTACATGAAAAAAATGTTCTAAATCACTATTGATTAGAGAAATGCAAATCCAAATGACTCTGAGATACCACATTACACCTATCAGATTGACTAACATGACAAAACAGGACAATGATAAATGTTGGAGATGTGAGAAAATTGGAACACTAATGCATTGTTGGTGGAGTCATGAACTGATCCAACCATTCTGGAAAGCAATTTGGAACAATAGCCAAAGGGCTATAAAATTGTGCATACCCTTTGACCCAACAATGCCACTTCTAGGTCTGTATCCCAAGGAGATCATAAAAGTGGGAAAAGGACTCACATGTAAGAAAAATATTGATAGCAACTCTTTTTGTTGTGGCAAAGAATTGGAAATTGAGGGGATGCCCATCAATTGGGGAATGGCTGAACAAGTTGTGATATATGAATGCAATGGAATACTATTGTGCTATAAGAAATGATGAGTAGGCAGACTTCAGAAAAAACCTGGAAAGACTTATGTGAACTGATGTTGAATGAAATGAGCAGAACCAGGAGAACATTGTACACAATAACAGCCACACTGAGCAATGATTGACTTTATTCAGCTTTTCTCAGTAATGCAAGGATCTAAGACAACTCCAAAAGACTCATGATGGAAAATGCTATCCGCATCCAGAGAAAAAGCTATGGAGTCTGAATGCATATGGAAGCATACTATTCGTTCTCCTTTTCCTTTGCTGTTTTGTTTTATTGCTTTGTTCTTGTGGTTCTTCCCATGAGTTCTAATTCTTCTATACATCATGACTAATGTGAAAATATACTTGATATGAACGTATAAGTAGAGCCTATATCAGATTATATGCTGTCTTGGGGAGGGGAAGGAGAAAGAGGGGGAGAATATTTAAAACTCAAAATCTTACGGAAGTGAATGTTGAAAACTAAAAATAAATTAATTAATTATTTTAAAAAAAAGAAAGAAAGAAAAGGGCCCAGAGAGATTAAGGGACTTGATTCAAGTTACACAACCTGTTAGTAGGAGAGTTTATGTTGTTTATAAAGCAAAATACAATTGGTCTATTGAGGAAGTTAAATTTTTGGTTTTTAAATGGCCTCACTAAAGAATATAGAAAGGTGGGCACACTAGCACGTTTTTGATAATGATATGAATTGGTCCAGCCATTCTGGAAGTCACCTCTTGCCTGGACTACTGTGATAGTCTCCTAATTGATATTCTTTCCAATCCAACCTTTTATACAACTTCCAAAGGACAAACTCTTCTAAAGCCCAGGTCTGACTGGGTCATTGCTATTCTCAGGGAATTTAATTGTTCCCTAGTACTTTTAGGAGCAAGTGTAAACTTACTTAAAACCCTTTATAACCTTGCTCCAATCATTTTTTTTATTTCATATTATTCCTCTTCACATCCTCTACAGGCCATTCAAACTTCTCTTCTTCACTTTCCTCTTCCTCGGCTTTGCATTTCTGTCCCTTTACAATGGTTCTCTGCTATACCTGGAACACACACCCTCTTCGCCTCTACTTCTTAGAAGTCCTAGTTTTCTTCAAGACTCACATCAAACATCAGCTTTGACATAAAGCCTTTCCTAATCCCAATCCCCAAACAGTCAGTGTACACGCCTCCAGAATCATCTGGTGTCTATTTTGTATATTCCCATATATGATAGGGCAGCTAGAGGGCACGATAGAGCACCAGGCCTGCAGTCAGGAAGACTCCTCTTCCTGAGTTCAAATCTGGCCTCAGACACTGACAGCTGTGTGATCCTGGGCAGGTCCCCAGCCCTGTTTGCCTCAGTTTCCTCATCTATCAAATGAGCTGGAGAAGGAAATGGCAAACCACTACAGTATCTTTGCCAAGAAAACCCCAGATGGGGTCATGAAGAGTTGGAGACGACTGAAAACAACTGAACAGCAACACATCTCTCTATATTCCTGTTATCTTCCCCAGTAGATAGTAAATTCCCTGAGAAGGGACACTGTCACCTTTGTTTTTATATCCTTAGCACTTAGCACAGTGTCTAGTACCTAGTAGATGCTTAATAGATGCTATTTATTAATTTATTGATATTAGAGATAAAAAGAGATGTCTCAGATACAATGAAATATTTTTACTAATACTTTTTGTAGTGGTAAAGAGCTGGGAATGAAGTCGATGCCCATCAGTTGGGGAATGATTAAACTGATCATGGCAAATGTATGTAAGGCAATGCTACTATACCACTGATGAACATGGTTCATGATGAGCCACCTCTGCATGAAGGATGCAGAGAAGCATGAAAAGACATATAAACTGATGCAAAGTGAAGTAAGCAGAATCAGGAAAATAACATACACAATGACTGCAACTATGTGAATGAAAAGAATAATAATAAAACAACTCTTGAATCTGAATATTGTGTGATTATAATGATCAAGCTGGGACATGAAGAAGAGAAGAGAAAATATAAATATGTATGTATGGACATACACATATATAAAACTATATGTATATGTGTACCCATATATACAAATATCTAGGTGTATGTATGTATATGTACCTATACATGTATACAATTAGGTGAGTGCATATATGTACTTATATCTATATGTATGTATGTACCTATTTATGTATGTAAGACTATGACTATGGAACATTGTATATCCTATTCAACTTGGTTAATGTGTTGGTTAGACTTGCTGAATTTATTTCTTATTTTTTTTACCCCCTTGTTCTTTGTTACAAGGGATAGCTCCTAGGTAGGAGAAAAGAGAGGTACATAACTGGGAAATGAAGGCAATGGAACAATTAAAAAAATTCTAACTAAAATTTGGTTTGGATACTTGATCAAAACAGAGTTCTCGAAAACATCTGACAGACATAGCCTGATCGTACAAGCTGGGAGGAAGGGCCTGCAGGAGTTTGGGGAAAAGAAGTCTTTATAAAGTGCCCTAGGGATGTGAACAGCAAAGAGGCTTCCTACTCTAGCCCTGGAAGCCCAGGGGA